GGTGTGAAGTACTGACAGGCTCTCCATGCCCTGGGAGGTGACCCCAGCAAACAAGAACTACAGTAGAGATCGTCCCACCAGATTGGAATAGTTCGTTCAATCCCCTTTAACCTTAGGAAGGTGTCTTGTTCTTTCTCTAGTTTGTCCAAAAGCCTTCCTATTCATATTCACCTGGAACTAGAACATGGACCTTATCTTGTTTGAAAAAAACAAGACCTTTGAGCCCACTGCACAGACCCACATGGACAGCCCAAGGACACAAACATTGGCTTGCTTTTCCTTCACTTGACCCAAGTTTTTCGTACATGGTTCTAATGATTTCAGCAAGACAAATCCCACAGTCCCACAGTGAGGCAACTCCTGCTCATAACTGGACTCCTGTCACCCCCTGACTGCAGCCCAAATAGGGACCTGGTGAAACTGCAGAGGGCAGTAGTTGTGGGTTCTTTTTGCTCACTTACTATATTTCAAAAGGGTTGTAGAATTACTGAATCTAGTTGCTGGGATTCCAGGTGTTCATCGGGCTAGTCTTTCAACTTTTCTGTGAGTTTGAAAACAAAAGTTGGAGGAAAAAACCTTTGTAAATGTATTCACATCATTGTGTCTGTACTGTGTGTGCCTTATTCCAAAACCTTGGTTGCAGCTATCTATTTTTAAACTGAGTTTAGTCATTGTGAATTTGGGTGAATATTAGCATCTTAAATATTACTGGTATTTGAAAGAGAGACTTAAAATAAAAATAGAAAATTCTTAAAAAGGCAGGGTGGTGTTTTAAACACTTCCCAGTTCATTCATTTAAAAGGGGAAGTGACAGTCCCCTTCCAAGGAGCTCAGCACCGACCAAGGTCACAGGGGTATCACTAGGAGGTCATAGTTCTCTACATTCTTCCACCCTTCAAAGATGGCATTTTAGGCTGGTCCCATTGCAACTGTCAGATAATAAGCAAGTAGCCTTTGTTTATGCTAAAACAAGCCCATTCCAGTCAGATAATCACAAAGCAGGTTTGGAACTGAGATGGCTCCAAGGGAGCTTGCTACCCAGCAGGAAGACAGTGGCAATTATTTGATAAATAAGATCCCTTCTTTTTTACACTTAGTTAACATCCTCTGTCAATTTTGGTTACGTCAGTATCATCTATAGACCAGTCTGACGTGTGACCGATAGTTCAGATTCTTATCCAGTACTTTCTCCCCTGCCACCCTCTCAGACATGTTTAGTTTCTTTCTTCTTATTCCTTCCATCTTGAAGGGGGCCGTTTCTGACCCTCAAGGATTGGGTCGGGGCAAGTGGGAATTAGGGATGAAGGAGAGAGGTGTAAGCTGGCCCTGGGTGCTGATGGTGACCCCACACTTGCTGCCCCTTCCTGGTGTCCTCCTTCCATGGCCCCAAGCAGCTCCCCCACCAGGGACTGCCCACCGCCTTCCTCCTGACTGCCCTCGCCATCCCTGTTCTTCCGGTACTCCTCCCTGTCCCTCCGGCAGTCCTCCTCCCAGCTGCTTACTGCTTTTGCAAAGGACTCCAGTCCCTCCATGCCTCCCGCTGAAGGCCAGGTTACTCCTCAGCCTCCCTCAGGTCACACCAGTCTAGTTTTCAGGGCTGGTTTTGTACGCAGACACCGATGTCCACCTGCTCATTATCTGTGTCTTGGTTTCTGCTTTGGGGTGGGCTGGGCCAGGAGGAAATGGAATTTAGAATCCCAGAAAGATTTCCCAGAGGAAAAGGAAGGTGCACAAAAAGACACAGAGGAATGCTCTGAGGTCCCACGCTGCCTCTGCCTCACCCATGAGACATCCGGAGTCACTATCCTGGTTTTAGAGAGTCTAATGGGGTCCTGGTTCCCATCATGTGGAGAGAGGAAAGAAACCCAGTTAAGGCATTCCACTGCAAGCACACATTAAAGGGTAGGGACTGGGACCTTTAGAACTCTACCGTTTTAGGACTCACGTGGCCATGTGAACATGCACACTTTAAGCCGCAGGTATAAGGCTAGAACTGGAGTGCAGGGAGCCAGGAACCAGACGTTGTCCCCAGAAGAGAGGCAAGAACATCAGAGGGCGGGCTAGCAGGACAGACAACCCCTGCACAATCTTTATTGACAGAGACTTACATAATTGGTCTTTGCAAGGACCTAAAAATCTTAAGGACATGGTGTAACAGAATGGTGTGAAGTACTGACAGGCTCTCCATGCCCTGGGAGGTGACCCCAGCAAACAAGAACTACAGTAGAGATCGTCCCACCAGATTGGAATAGTTCGTTCAATCCCCTTTAACCTTAGGAAGGTGTCTTGTTCTTTCTCTAGTTTGTCCAAAAGCCTTCCTATTCATATTCACCTGGAACTAGAACATGGACCTTATCTTGTTTGAAAAAAACAAGACCTTTGAGCCCACTGCACAGACCCACATGGACAGCCCAAGGACACAAACATTGGCTTGCTTTTCCTTCACTTGACCCAAGTTTTTCGTACATGATTCTAATGATTTCAGCAAGACAAATCCCACAGTCCTACAGTGAGGCAACTCCTGCTCATAACTGGACTCCTGTCACCCCCTGACTGCAGCCCAAATAGGGACCTGGTGAAACTGCAGAGGGCAGTAGTTGTGGGTTCTTTTTGCTCACTTTCTATATTTCAAAAGGGTTGTAGAATTACTGAATCTAGTTGCTGGGATTCCAGGTGTTCATCGGGCTAGTCTTTCAACTTTTCTGTGAGTTTGAAAACAAAAGTTGGAGGAAAAAACCTTTGTAAATGTATTCACATCATTGTGTCTGTACTGTGTGTGCCTTATTCCAAAACCTTGGTTGCAGCTATCTATTTTTAAACTGAGTTTAGTCATTGTGAATTTGGGTGAATATTAGCATCTTGAATATTACTGGTATTTGAAAGAGAGACTTAAAATAAAAATAGAAAATTCTTAAAAAGGCAGGGTGGTGTTTTAAACACTTCCCAGTTCATTCATTTAAAAGGGGAAGTGACAGTCCCCTTCCAAGGAGCTCAGCACCGACCAAGGTCACAGGGGTATCACTAGGAGGTCATAGTTCTCTAGAGAAAGGCACTTGGGCTTGGCCCCTCTTGTGCTCACATTCCGTAATTATCACACACTGCTGCTGGCAGTACCTTCTTGCATACAGACCACTGGCATTCCTAAGCAAGCAGAAATGAATGGCAAAGCTCGCTGCTGGAAATAAACCAAGGCACACATTGGGGGGAACCAAAGCTAGGTTTCCGAGTGTGTGCCTTTGCCTTACCAATGAAAGCCTTTGGAAACTGAAAGTAGACTGCTTCAATAAAACTTGTCTTCGAATTTTAGTGAATCACTCTACATTTTGGAGTTTGTTTTTTGGGGTTTTTTTTGTTGGTTTTATTTCTTTGCACCTCTTCGAACTTTACTAGGAAGTAATTCCAAGACACCTTGAGGAATTTTATTGTGCTAACACCTTTGAATATAATATTTGTCTCTGCCATAATATTTAAATTTCTGGAAGATACAATTATTTGCTGAGTCAGTTACTGTCTGCTGATTCATTGACAATGAAAAGTAGAAAAAGGGGATGGGTTTTAATTAGATCATTTTATTGTCATTACTAGGATGATAAACAGGGGCCCCAAACTATTTATATTATATTATAGACTCACTGATAAACTAAAAGTAGAATACTACACTAGAAAGAGCTTCAGAGATCAATTTCTCAAACTTGCCAAACTTACATTACTTACTTAATGTGTACATTAAACAATGTAAGGGCAGAGCTGGTGTCTTAGAAATAATAGCTCTTCGATAATTATGATGGCATGATAAATGGATACTGTGGGGGAGCTGCATCATAGTGTCTTTTAATCACTGTGCTAGTTTTAGAACCAACTACTACCTCCTCATCCTCCCCCCAGAATTGTAGGAAATTGACCTCCAAGAGTTGAGAGGGAACTGTCCAGGGGGGCCAAGGTCAGAAATGTCCTCTGGAAAGGCAGGAGCTGGGGGACCACATTATTTTCTGCAGCCTTAAAGGGAACAGTATCCTTGAGAATCAGATCAAGCTTGACCTTGCAGCAAATATTCATTAAGCACCTACATTAATAAATTGTGCCTTAATAGCATTCACAAATACTATCTCACTTAGTTCTCACAATAGAAGCATTTAAGGTTGTAGAGGTGTAATATTAAAAAAGAATTGAGAAAACTCACTGGCAAGTGGGAGCATTCTGGATTTGTCCACTGAAGTCCTCATTCAGCTCCCCCCAAAAGTTGTGCATATAGAACATTCTGGAAGTGCAGACATCAGCATTTGCTTCTTTCCTCCTTGTAGACCAGCTCTTTGGGTTCTCCCGCTTTCTTGTGCATTATAATTCATGTGTCATATTCAAAATACAAAACCACATATCTTGAATTTTAAGGGAAGCATAAGGGATTTCAAGATCAAAAAAATAATGGATTTCAAAAACAAGGCATTTGACTACACAACAGTTTTGGAAATAACTTTAGAATGTAGCCTCTATGTGGAATGTGACTCCACAGTAATGTGTTTTGTTCTGTGTTTCTTTTTATTAGGCCGACTAGACGATCAATATATAATTAGATTTATAAAAGAAAAGCTAAAATCTGTGCCTTGCAGGAATCAAGGTTACATTTTAGATGGATTCCCAAAGACCTATGATCAAGCCAAGGACCTTTTCAACCGTAAGTCTGAGTGTTCCCTTTATTTTGAGTGTTTACATTCAGTTGAATTGTAACCTTATTGTTCATAGTAATAGTCACACAATTAAAATAAATAAAAAATCAGAGAGACTCTGTCTAAAATATCTAAAATACATCCTTTCCTTCTTATGGCTAGTTTTCACAAGTGACTTTTAATTAAAATATTTTATTTTTTTTGCTGGGATATCCATAGCAGTAATATGTAATAAACACAATGATGTATATTTTGTTTTATTAGCAGACGAGGAGGAAGAAGAAGAAATCAAAGGCAAAATGTCTCCCTATGATAAATCAATCATACCTGGTAAGTTTAAACTGTTTTTTCGAAGTCATATTTAAAAGAATGCCATCTGTTATCTCTTTTGTACCAAAACCATCTTCTTAATGTTAATAAAGCAGAACTTTTCTCTGGGAAGGAATTGGCGGTAAATAAATATCAGGGATATTAAGGTTCTGAAATGTCCAGAAGTCGCTTTGAAAATGTGCGTATCTGCTGCTCCTTCCTGTAAGGGAGCAAAAGATAATAAATCTGCTGTTTCCTTGACTTCTGAGTCAGCTGATGACATCAGCAGGGACTGAATCACCACCACTCCTTCCTGCTCTGATTTAGGCACTAGCAATGCCTTTATCTCTTCCAGAAGACACTCAGAATCCAGAGACTGAGCAGGTAAAAAGCTTTTTGCTTCACTGTTAACTCCACAGCGAGTTTATTTTATCACATATTTACATAGTGGTTTCACAATGTACTCTTGAAAGTGAAGCATAAAAATCTTATTCCACAAAAAAGGATTTGCTGTGTAGCAGGCATTTCTTGTGACCTTGCCATGAACTTTAAAAGTTTATTTTTTATCAATTTGCATGAAATATAATCATAGGAAATAATTTTTGGTTCATATGGTAAATACAAGAACAGCTATTTCCAGCAACTTAGTGCAAGGTTGTAACAAGAAAGGACCTACTCACTTCTGTCAACGTTCCCAAGGGACTCAGCTCATGGCTGTAATACTCTCTCCTCCTCTTGGTCCAGGACTTCTTGAGAGGAAGCTTCTGGAAGCGCTGAGACTGCCAGAAAGCAGTCATCCTCAGTGTTGGATATTTATTGTTTATTGGTGGGCTCTGAAACCTGTGGCAGAGATAAAAAATGCTAAAGGGATGGTCTCTCTCAGATTTCCCATTAATGTATGTATTTACGTCAGAAAATGTTAACCAGTAAAGTGGATTACTCTAACTAGGTCTGTCCAGTTTATGAGAGTTTATCACTTCTGAGCAATATTCATTCATTGCAAACCCTGTCATAAATCCTCATGCTCCCGCTGAGGCAGCTGGGTAATATCCAGCTCAACTAACCATTTGTCGTGTGTGAGGCCCCACGTGAGATACGAGCTCGTAGAACTTCCCGTAGTCCAGCGAGGCAGGAATGACTCCCATGTTTACGTGATCCAGAAACTAAAGCCCAGAGACTTACCCAAGTCCACTCAACTGGAAAATGGGAGGGCTTAAATTCAGACTCAGGTCTTCTCACTCCACTGCCTCAAAAAAACAGAATTAATGAAACCCTTCCATAGGACAAGGAAGTGACAACACAGAGGTCAAGTGATGGATCATTCTTAGTTATGCCCCCACTGAGCTGACCTCTCTTTGTTGGACATAGTCCAAATATGTCTAAGATGTAATCTATTTCGAATGTTTACTCTGTTCTTAGTAAATTACCCTTTTCCCAGAAATCATCGTTTTCTGTCTTCCTGAAAGAAATTAGAGCATTGTTCATTTGTGCCCTTGGGATTCTATTTTATGGAGGTCACAGAGCCCACACAAGAGCTTAATGCCATTGAAAAAAAGAATTTATTACTCACATGTCCCCGGGCTGCATGGGGAAGCACCAGGCTTGGTCAGGAGGTGGGAATCGGAACAAGGGGAAAGTGTAGCCCCCGGCCTTACCTGGGGTTCCCACGGGAAAGGCCAGGCAGGGCAGAATAAACTTCCATCTTAGAGGACCGGCCAGTCTGAGCTTCCAGAGCTTGTTTTCTAATTGCCTGTTACTGGACCTGGTATGATTTAAGGCAGGGGAAGTACTGGCTTGGTGTGTGAGCGGTACATGAAGGGGGCGGCTATCGTATATAAGAAAGTCATGCTCCCAAGTTAAGTTGTTTACCACCTGTGGAAGTTAGCTACCCCTGGGAGTCTCTCTTCTATAAGGAATCTACCCACCCCAAGATGTCACAATACCATAAAATACCAAAAATAATAAACATGGTAATAAATCCCTTATCCCTGCTTGATTTGAGTGATAAAGCCTTTGAATCTGTGGTGATCCAGTCATAGGCGGCATTACCTCTTGTGGTTAAATCATGCATTTTACCACTGCTGTTAGCCTATATCCAACACTATAATTTTCAGGTCTCCTAGATGAAGGAGACAAATTTAAAGCTGTACCTACTTGCGATCAATATGGAAAAATCTGTTAGAACACAGCTTTCCACGCAACTCCAGATAGCCAAAACAGTGACCTCCGGGTTATATACAGCCTCACCGAGCAGCCTATTACAGTCTATTACAATCTATTGCTCACTATCCACAGTTAGACAGTACAAGGGCAGTAGGTATTAAGAATAATTATCCCCAGGTACTGCAAAATTCTGAAGTTCTCTCTGAACTATAAAAGAGAAAGGACTTTAAAAAGACATCATCTAGTGGGATGTATTTCACCATATTAAGATTCTCTGAAAATTGGAAGCCAAGTACATCACTCACTATTCACAATATTTGATTAACTGGAATCTTCCATCTCCTGACGACTGGAAAAAAAAGATACAGTATTATATTTTGAAATTCTTAATTTACTAACATAATTATTAACTTTTCATCTACATGCCTCATATCATGGAGCTTAAATAGATTCAATTTCCAGGGATTTTTTTTTTTGAAATAATTTTGATTCACGTGCTACAGCAGCATTTGGGGAATCAGCTGTCTCCTTTCCTTTTCAAAATATAGCTACTTATAAAAATCAAATGGTCAAAGATGAGCATCTAAATTAAAAAGATAGTGTATTTTTTATATACTGCAGCATAACGATAGTATCAGAGAATTGTTATGAATTTATAGGGTCTTATTCCACCAGCTCTGTCCTCAGCCTTTATTTTCACTATTAACATACAAAGCAGTTGATGTTTACACATGTTCCACACAAGTACAGTCTGCTCTGGGCTCTGCCCAGGACACGTACTTTTCTCCCTCACTCAAGAAAGTTTATTAGAATGCAATTACGTGAGAATGGCATTATTATGTGGTGAACAATACAATTTTATTTATTTATTTTAATTAAGGTATCATTGATATATGCTCTTATGAAGGTTTCACATGAAAAATATTGTGGTTACTACATTCACCCATATATTATCCCCCCTATACACCATTGATGTCACTGTCCATCAGCATAGTAAGATGCCACAGAGTCACTACTTGTCTTCTCTGTGCTACACTGGCTTCCCCATGACTCCCCCCAACACACACCATGTGTACTAATCTTAATACCCCTCAATCCCCTTCTTCCTCCCTCCCCATCCACCCTCCCCCACCACTCCCCTTTGGTAACTGCTAGTCCCTTCTTGGAGTCTATGAGTCTGCTGCTGTTTTGTTCCTTCAGTTTTACTTCATTGTTGCACTCGACAAATGAGGGAAATTATTTGATACTTGTCTTTCTCCACCTGGCTTATTTTACTGAGTATAATATCCTCTAGCTCCATCCATGTTGTTGCAAATGGTAGGATTTGTTTTCTTTTTATGGATGAATAATATTC